GAAGCAAGTCAGCCAATATTGGCTGTGCTGCTGCAGGCAGGGTGGCGAGAGCAACTGAGGAGGGGCTGAGCCCCTACAGGCCGAGGAAAGGGGACAGCCCTCTCCTGTTAATAATGTGAAGCAGGCAGCACGAAGCTGAGAGGGAAATCTTTATTATTTTCTGTATAAAAATGTCCATCAGATGAAGGTTAAAGGGGTTGGGAGCAGATGCTTATGTGGGAACAGCGAGGTGGCAGCCCCAGCAGCCTTTCAGCCCTTTCTCGTGCAGGCCTTGCTCAGAGTCCCAGGCGATCCACAGGTCTGGCATGAACAGTGAGAGGGGTCAGAGGTGGAAGCCTCAGCAGGAGAGGAGAGGAGGATCAGCAGAAGTCATGAGAAGGCCAGAATCCAGGGTCAGGCTGTCTGGAACAGGAAGTAAAGTGGGCCGAGATGGAGCGAGCCCCCAGTGTGCTTCTGAGGCCAGTCCCACCTCCCTGAAACACCCTGCTACGGACTGACCCAATGCCCTGTGCTGTGAGAGCACCTTTTCTTCTGAAAGCCCTATACAAGGGAGGGGCCCCTGTGGAGACCCTACCCGGCCATCCAGGGGAGCACTCTCTCCCCACCCCGTCAGCTGTATGGGTCGAAGACTCCTACCCTGGTCGAAGTTGAGTTTCTTAGCTGGAGGAGTCTCTCCTAGCCCTTCAATATCCACCAGGTCACTGTTGGCGTCGGAGTCGTTCAGAGCACTGAGTGTCACATCTGGGAGGGGGACATAAGCTAGGTTCTAGGTTTCCCTGACAGCCTCTCCCCCGACCCCGAGCTTCCCAAAGCTTCGTGCTTCCCCTCCCCTCTGCCCCTCTCTGGGAACCTCCACAGGGACAGGAAGAGAGATTGACCCTTTTTTGACCCAGGCCCATTTCTCTAACTGAACCTCAGATGGGACCTTTAACCCCTAGGCAGCAACTCCACAGCCCTCACCAGCCTTCTGTTTCTTTATGGGGGGACCCCCGGCCTCAGGGACACTGGAGCTGCTGGGAGGAGGGGCAGCTGGAGGTGACAAGACACCAGATGCCACCTTCTTGGGCCCTTTCTTGGGTGACTCAGCTGGAAGGGGGATGCCAGAGTCTTCATATACCTTGCGTTTCACAGTGGCCTTTATCTGAGCTCTGCAGAAAAGAGAGAAGAGGTTAGGAAAGCAGTCATCAGAGAGACTAACAGAAGGGAGGGGAGAGGAAGGGGTTCAGGGAGTCCCTTCCTAAGAATCCAGGTCGGGGCCCCAACCCATTGGTAGGGTTCTCACTGTCCTGAAGCTTTGCACTCACTCAGGGTGGATGGAGTGTTGGGAGTGGAGTCCCTGAACTGAGTAGTGGGGACTCCGAATTCTCTTCTGGGAGAGACATCAGGTAAGGCTTGGTGGTTTACAGGTGGATCGCGATTTACTGATCAACTAGTTCAGGATCATCATACCCCTGGAAACACTGTAGTAGGGTCCCCCAAAATTTATATAAATAACCAGGGGACCTCCATCATCAAATACAGTAACTGAGTATCTCAGGCAACCTAAATTTCACATTCTTGGAAGGATTACCACAGCATTTTAGGAACTTCTGACCAACGGTGACAATTCTATTCTTTTAGTCCCCAAGGGGATTCTAACAAAACTAGCAACAAAGTAGGGACGCAGTTGAGCTGGAAAGGAGTTCTGAGGACGATGGAGCCTTGGGTAAGGAGGAAGAAAGCTGCCCACCCCCCTTTTCTGGCAGCCACCCTCCCTCACACTGTCCGTTCCTTGATGACACAGCTGATGTGATTAAGATCGTCCCCAAATCGCTTCACAGCAGCCCTCAGCATCTCTATCTCCGTCTCCGTCCACTTCGCACTGTCAGAAGGGGAGAGGGGGGGATAGCAAAAATGGGAGGAGGGGTGTGGGGCCAGCCCACAGGCTATGTGTCCCACAGCCAACCAGCCGCCTCCTCCCGACTCCTGGGACCCTTTCCACGGATGCATTAAGAGATCCTCCATAGGGGAGGAAAAAAAGCTTTTGAGGCCCTGCGGGAACGGGGAGGACCCCAATCACAAATCCCAATCGCCTCCACCTTAGAACACCCCTCTCCATCATCAACGTTACACGGCTGCTGTACATAGCGCAGTGAAAACCAATTCGCCAGGAGGGGGCTTTACAGACAGGGCCTCCGAACACAGCCTGTAGCCGTCTGGGGGAATTCCATAAACTGGGGTGGTTGGGAGTGGTGGTGGTTTGTGGTCGGCCCGTTCGCAGCAGGGAGAACCATGAAAGAGGTGTCTGGGCTACGGGCCTGTGTTTTCATCTGTCATTCATTTCCTTATCCAGCGATCATTTATTAACACCTACTCTGTGCTGTACCAGGCACAAAGGGAAACTAACGTCTGTCCCTGTGCTAGAGAGGGTCCGTGTCTGTGACCGCGTCCGAGCGCCCGCTCTCAGCGTCCACGTCCCCGTCCGGGCTCACGTACCCCGCAGGGGAAGAGTCGGCCACCGGATGCAGCTGCATCGTCAGCTCCCCGAGCTTCGTGAAGGCGGCGCCGGCGGCCGAGAAGATCTCTCCGACCTGGGGGCGGGGCAGCGTCACGGGGGGCCGGCGCTCGCCCTCCCCATCCCGCCCGGAGCCCCTAGCCCCACCCCAGGCTCGGCTCTCGCCCGCCCCCCGCCCCCCGCCCGGGGCGGAAGAGCCACGCGCCAAATGGGGGGCCCGCCCTCCCGTGGCCGCCAGGGAGCGCTGTCCGCGAGGGAGGTCGAACCTTTGTGGACGCTGACGTCATGGTCCCGCGCGCCTCCTCACGGAGACGCCGCTGCTGCCGCCGCTACACGCGAGCCAGGACCGTGGAGAGCCGGGAGACTGAGCGACTCGGACCCCCGCGCAGGAAGTCCCGCCCGTCCCGCAGCGGATAGGCTGAAACCCGGCGGCTCCCCGCCCCATCAGACGCAGTTGATTAGACCGCCCGACGCCTCGGGGCGAAGGGGAAAGCCGTAGCCTCACTTCCGCGCCACTTCACTCCACTTCCGCTCAGGGGTCGGGACTCCTCGGGCCGAATCCGACCTCCCGCCTCAGCCCCGTGCCCGTCCCCACTGAAGCACAGACATAGGGCTTAAGAGAGCGGATTCTCTTTATTGAGATTCGGGACGCAGAGAAGGGTGGAAAGAGGGAACAGCCCCCCCAGCCCCAGCCCTCTCTAAGGGGGCCGATGCCAGGGATGGGAGAAGAAGGGATTCAGTCTCGCCCAGGAAACCCAGTCCCGCAGAGGGCGCCGGCAAGGGTGGGACGCGGCCGGGGTCACGTGGTGCAGGGAGTGTTTAAATAGAGGAGGGGCTGGAGCGGGGAAACGCTCCCGGGCTCTAGCGCACCATGTATTCCTTGCGCTTGTTGAGCCGAACTTGGCAGAAAGAGAAGCCCCCGAGGAGGAGGTAAAGGCCCGCGGCGATGAAACAGTTGTAGCTGACTTGCTCGTAAAGGTTGTATATGTTCTGGGGGCCATTCCTGGGGGTGGGAATGAAGCAAAGGTGTCAAACATTAAGAGTAGTTAACACTTGCCGAGCGCTATGTGCCCGGCAGCGGTCTAGGCGCTCTTACGTGTATTATTCAGTCTTCTCGACCATCCCATGGGCTGAGATCTGTTATAGCTGACATTTTGCAGAGGTGGACTGAGACGGACGGAAAGGTAAAATACCTAAAGACGCCACACCTCGAGTGGTGGGTTTGGGATGGCGGCTGAGGTCTGACTCCCTAGCTCCTAACTACGTTCTCAAGAAAACAGCTCTCCTCTCCCAGTTGTCTAAACCTAGGGGCCCAGATCACCCGGCCTCGCCTCCTCCCACATGCTCCCAGCCCGCCTCCCCCACCCGATTACTTACTCAAAATCTTTCTCCGTGAAGGGAACGTCCTCAATCAACACAGCGGAATGGACATTGAAAAATATTCCGAGCATTATCTGGAAAAGGGGAATGGGTAGGTTGTTGAATTCAGGCACCTGCCCTCACGTTCACTTCGTAAACCCCTCCCATTTCTAATGTTGCTACAACACCCGAGCCGGAGATTAACCAAAACGAGGTGGTGGTTACTGGATTCGGACTCAGCCACCTGGAACAGGGCGTGAGGTGGTGACACTGAGACAAGTGGCTGAGGCAAGGGTAGGAATAGGTTGACCAAGCCATCTCTCCCAGGAACCCAGCAGATCGTCCTCCCTGGAGGCGTCACCATCACCGGACAGTGCGGAAGAGGGGAGGGAGAACCGGCACTTCTACATATTCACTTCTTCTTGAAGTGGCGGTGGGTGGATTACTGGGGAAACAAGGCCCAACTACCCATTTCTAAAACAAGCACTCTCTTTCCCCCCATGTCCTCCATTCAACTCAAGCACCTCTCAGGAACCCCGCTCTTGTTTCTCCTGTCTTGAGGGGTCTCCACATTTACCAGCCCCAGCTCCTCCCACTCCAGGGCCCTTCGCTCCAGTTCCCATTTTCCAATCTCTGTCTCTTCCCCCGGGGCCAGCTGATCCCCGGCTCCTTCGGCCTGCCTGCGGCCCAGAGTGTCCTAGCTCCCAGCCCGGAACCCCTCAGGCCCTCTCGGATCCTTGCCGGGGAGTCCCCTCACCAACATGATCACTCCCCAGGCGCTGAGGACGATGCCGCAGGCGGCCAGCTTCGGCCCACAGCACAGGAGCGACGCCATGAAGAAGGGAGTCGGAGATCGCCAAGGTGCAAGCGGGCTGGAAAAGCGGTGGGAGAAAGCCGGGGATGCGTTCGGCGGGCTGCAGAGGGGGCGTGGCCCCGGCCTCAACCATCCCGCCCGGGGGTGGCAGGCAGACAAGGCTGGGCTCCTCTAGGGACTTTCATGGGAGACGGCGCCGGCTGAAACCGATACAGCTTCTGTGAAAACCCTTCTTGACCTCTGTAGCTGGGGCGTGAGTACTGGAAGAGCGAGGGCCTCCGGTTTCTTGGTCCCCCTCCACTTGCGAACAGGAATGGAAGGCGCTGGTATGTCACGTGATCAAGTCTGGCGAGTCACGTGACGAGGAACTAGCAATAACCAGGCCTTGGGGGAAAAATTCTAACTGGTGGAGCTCCTGGTAACTGGCGCGATGGGGTCTTAAGATCGGAGGATTGGAACCATCTGATTTTTACCTCTGATACTTTAGTCTCGGGTTCTCTCCTGTGTTGGGAAAATGGTAAGTGAGACGGATTTTCACCAACAGGGAGCGTTTCTATCTCTTCTTTACTCCTCCCTTTTAAAAATCGAGATTCTAACAGTATAAAGGAGTTAGGATCCCCTTCTGGTGTGGCTAGAACGCTTTAAAATTGCTGAGGGTTATTAGTATTGGAACTTTTTCTCCTAAGTAATATTTTATCATCACATTTGAAATACTGTAACTCTAGATGCCAGATCCAGGAAAATGGGCGATTAGGAAAAGTCCGGGGAAAGCAGACTATGAGCTGGTTGTGAAGGTGAGCAGCAGTTCTGTTAAATATACAAATATGTCACTTGGCTTCTCTACTTTAAACTAGGGAAACTGATGATAGGTCTTTTGAATAACGTAGAACACAATATTAAAAAATATAAATAGGTTATCCCCTCCAAAAAAAGCTGTTTGTATACTTAACTGGTGAGTGACAGATCTGTAATAATTATTTAGAAACAGGAATGTCAAGGCGGTCGTATCACTTGAGGTATGGAGTTCGAGACGAGCCTGGTCAATACGGCGAAACCCCGTCTCTACTAAAAAATACAAAAATTAGCCGGGTGTGTTGGCGTGTGCTTGTGATCCCAGCTACTCGGGAGGCTGAGGCGGGATAATCGCTTGAACCCAAGAGGCGGAGGTTGCAGTGAGCCGAGATGGGGCCACTGCACTCCAGCCTGGGCGCAGAGGGACACACACACACACAATTTTGCACTGAGCAGGCTGTACCCACTGTAATGAGGACAATGACCTCAGAATAATTGAGAGGGATCATTTGACCCTGAGACCCCAGGACCAAACAAGGAAACACTGTCGCTGGCTAGAATAATTTTGTAGTTCTTATTTATTTTGTGCATATTGTTCTTAAAAGGCTTGCAAAAGAGAACTTGGAATGTGGGAAACACATAGATCCTAGAGTGTTAAAGGGGCTGGGAAAGTGGCCTTGAAACATGAAATACATGCCTCTCACCTGGGACTGTCTGGGCAAGGAAGCCATTTTGGGGCAGTGGTTTTTATTCTGCCCTAAAAACACTATTCTTACTCACACACTTTTGAGGTACATGGGTGAATAGGAGAAATATGGGTGGAAGGAAATTGCTAAAGAGTAGAGTCAGGAATCTGTATGCTGGCCACCAGGCATGAAGCTGAGGTGGTTGATTTTTCTAAGAAATCCCCCTGCTCCATGACCTTGGATGTTTTGGAAGCAGGGTCAGGGCCTCAGGCTAGTGCAGGGTTCAAGGGCCAAATCCGGTCTGTAGCCTGCCTGTTAATGTCTCAAACAAAGCACATTTGTTTGTTTGTAGATTTTTTTTTTTTTTTTTGCATTTTAAATGGTTGAATAAACCAAAAGAAGACTATTTTGTGATGTGAAATTCATATCTCAGTGTCCATAAATAAAGTTTTATTGGAACATAATCATGCTCATTTCCATATTGCCTGTGGCTGCCTTCATGCCGCAGCAGGAGAGCTGAGTCGTTGACAGTGACTATGTGGCCTGCAAAGCCTAGAACATGATCTAGCCTTTGCAGAGAAAGTTTACTGTTCCCCTGGGCTAGTGGGATACTAATGTAGGGAGTTTAACTGGGGGAGGACATAGAGCCTTAGCAGCAGAGACTTCAGGAGAAAGTATGAAGTTCAAGATAGAAATGTCAGTCCTAAAGCCGACGTGAAGTATTGCAGGTGGGGTCACTTTAGGGCTCAGATAGTGACACTGTTCTCTATGCAGCTGGGCTTCAGATATTCATAGGGCAGGTCAAGTTGCTCATTCCGGGCTGTAATCTCCTTTTCCAGGTTTTCCAAATCTGTTCGGAATTGGTTTAGCACAGCTTTGGGCTTGGGGCCTGAGAAATATTTTTCTTTGTGATGCCCCAGAGGCACCTGAGACAGAACAAAGGGATCATCAATCAGTTTCTAAAGACAATCGAATCTAGAGCCCAGACCCCCACTCTGATGTTTCCTTCTGTCATTTCTCTCTCCTAAGAGTCCCCTCTCACCATGTCCGGCTGGCGGCGACCCAGATGCCATGTGATGGTCATTTGAAGACAAGCCTGGCGGACATCAGGTAGTGACCCCATCACTGTGGCCATTGTCACGTCTTCCTTGGTGGTGGGTGGGGGCATCCGCATTGTGCATGGGGCATTAGGGACCCAGGCATACCAGTCCAGCTGGAGGAAGGAACTGTAACACTAGAACCCTGGTACTTAGGGTTTGAACTCCCGTCTCTCCCTCAGGCCTCCCAGGCACCAGACACTTGCCCTCAGGGACCTGTGCTTTCAGCTGTCCATACCTGGCCCTGGTTGATGGCTGCATGCTGAGCAGTGCACGTGAAGATGCACATGGTGAGGAAATGGCAGAGTTGACCCTGGGACTGAAAGGAGACAGGGAAACCTGTGGAGGAAAGGAATTAGAGTTAGAAGCCACGGCATAAGAGGAGAGAAACTAAGGCTGCAGTTTTGGGATGCCCATATTTTAGAACTGATGAGTATTTGTTCATTTTATTTAGATATAGTTGCATCAGACATGGGTTTGAGTCCTGGCTGAATCACTTACACTTGGTTACCATAGGCCAATTACTTAACCTCTTTGAACTTAAGTTTTTTCACCTGTGAAATATGGGCGATAGCTACATTGAAAATGAGATGATGTATCAAAATCACCTGGTAGGTAATACATGCTCAATAAGTAATAATTATTGTTATTATGGAAGGATTGGAGGCTGAAAAGTTCTGAGTGACCAAATATCCCTTGCCTCAAAAAGTGGTTAAGAATTGAGGATTCATGGCCGGTGACTCATGCCCGTAATCCCAGCCCTTTGGGAGGCCAGGGCGTGAGAATTGCTGGAAGGCGAGTGACAGAGCAAGACCCTGTCTCCATTTAAAAATTAAAAAATAGCCGGGCGCGGTGGCTCACGCCTGTAATCCCAGCACTTTGGGAGGCCGAGGCGGGTGGATCACGAGGTCAAGAGATCGAGACCATCCTGGTCAACATGGTGAAACCCCATCTCTACTAAAACTACAAAAAATTAGCTGGGCATGATGGTGCGTGCCTGTAGTCCCAGCTCCTCGGGAGGCTGAGGCAGGAGAATTGCTTGAACCCAGGAGGCGGAGGTTGCGGTGAGCCGAGATCGTGCCATTGCACTCCAGCCTGGGTAACAAGAGCGAAACTCTGTCTCAAAAAAATAAATAAATAAATAAATAAAGAATAGAGAATGCTGACTCCTATTCCTGGACAGAATGACAAGTCTCTGTGTTAAATAAGGTGGGGAACAGGAGAAGTCATGGATTTCCAGTGTCACAGCTAAGAGGGGCTCCCACAGGGGTTATCTCTGGCCAATCATATTGCAGTGGATGTGGGGGCTCAGAGACTGATTTTTTTTTTTTTTTTTTTTTTGAGACGGACTCTTGCTCTGTTGCTCAGGCTGGAGTGCAGTGTCGCAATCTCAGCTCACTGCAACCTCTGCTTCTCGGGTTCAAGTGATTCCCCTGCGTCAGCTGCCCAAGTAGCGGGGATTACAGGTGCCTACCACCAAGCCTGGCTAATTTTTGTATTTTTAGTAGAGACAGGGTTTTACCATGTTGGCCAGGCTGGTCTTGAACTCCTGGCCTCAGGTGATCTCCTCACCTCGGGAGAGCTCTCCCAAAGTGCTGGGAGACACACACGATAATTTTATCAGTTAATTGGAATAAATATAATTACTCTCATTTTATAGATAAGAAAATCAAAGCCCATAGAGAATAAACTGTCCAGAAGCCTGGTTGGAAAAAGGCAGAGGCTGACCTTGAACTCAGGTTCCTGACTGCTAATCCCATGCCATTTTTAATTTTAGCACACTGCCTCTAAAACGTCTGTTGGGAAAATTAGACAAAGGTGGGCTATATGAACTGAAAGAGAACAGGGGGAGGGCAGTTAGTGGAGGTTAAAGTTAAAATGTGTCAGGAACTGAATGTCTTTGGCTCTTCTTATATTGAAATCTAATCCCCATTGTGATGGTATTTGGAGGTGGAGCCTCTGGGAGATAATTAGGGCAAGAGGGTGCAGCCCTCTTGAATGGGTTTGATACCTTTACAAGTGGAGAACAGTGCTAGTTTGCTGTCTCTCTGCTATGTGAGGATACAAGGAGAAATTGGGTGTCTGCAGCTTGGAAAAGGGCCCTCACCAGAACCTGGTTTTGGACTTCCAGCCTCCAGAACTGCGAGGAATACATTTCTGTTGTTTATAAGCAACCTAGTCTATGGTGTTTTTTTGAGATGGAGTTTCGCTCTGTCGCCCAGGCTGGAGTGCAATGGTATGATCTCGGCTCACAGCAACATCTGCCTCACAGGTTCAAGCAATTCTCCTGCCTCAGCCTCCTGAGTAGCTGGGACTACAGGTGTGCGCCACCATGCCTGGCTAATTTTTGTATTTTTAGTAGAGACGGGGTTTGACTATGTTGACCAGGCTGGTCTGGAACTCTTGACCTCATGATCCCTCTACCTTGGCCTTCAAAAGTGCTGGGATTACAGGTGTAAGCCACCGTGCCCCACCAGTGTTTATAGTAGTCCAAACTGACTAGGAGCTTAAGGGACAGTACAGAGAAGAACTAGAGAGAGTTTGGTCCTGGAAGGGGTGGCACACCCAGCCTCCCCAGGGAGAGGCTCCCTCCAGGGTAGTGGTGTTTGCCACATTCCCAGGATTGGCCATAAAGGCTCCCCAGTGAATGTCTATAGTTGTCCCACAGAGGCACAGGTTGATATTCAAGGCCCGGGTCTGAAGTATGAGATGGAGAGGCTGAAGGATGAGTGACAGCAGTCCATGCTGGTGCCTGTGTGATAAGCTTAAGAGCTCAGCAAAGGCCATTTCTTCCTCAAAGGTTCAAATGTAGGGAGTGAGGTTTGACTAAAGGTAGTGGCGATTCTAGCCAGAGGGTGGTTAGGGAGGGTTGGGTTAGCTGAAGAAATCTGAGCCCCTAGGATCAGGATGCTGAATTTGGGTTTGAGGCAAAGCACGTATAGTATTGAGCTTACATCCAGAGCTGACCTTGCACTGTAGCAGGTGTGCAGTATCCCTGGACCCTCTGGGTGTGTTGGACAGTAGCAGGTAGGAAGAGAGGGAGGGAAAGCCAGGTGGGCCACTGGGGACTTTGGAGGGAAAATCTTCCCATTTACATCCTCAGGTAGGAAAACAGGGAACCATCAAGAGAGACTGTGAGCCCAGAGGGACTGTGTAGACCCGTCATGGCTGTGGCTCTGACCTGGTGGGTGCCAGGATATGGCAGCTCAGGGGCATCTGTGACGGGTGGGGTGGGACTAGGGGTTGATGGCCAGGGTCTCCGAGGAGGACAGTCCTTGGGTCTCTAGAATTGTGCTGAGTCTGAGGAGGTGGGAGTGGGATGCACATGCTTTCCTGTGTGGAGGGAGGGAGGTGTGATGAGGGGCTGGGGTCCTGTCCCAGAAGGACAGGGCTGGGAAGGGGCCCTGGCAGAGTCTCCCCAGAGCTTCTGTCTCTGGAACGGATCTTACCTCGGTCCTGGGCCTGGCACAGCCCCACCTCTGTGATCTCCCGACACCAGGCCTGCAGCTCAGGGTCCCCACTCACCATGTCATCTCTTTGGTAGAAGAGGTGGATGATCCCCTTCACATACCTGCCCGGGGGAGAAGGCGCTTGAGCCTCTGAGAGCAGAAGCCCTGGCCTCTGGCCTCTATTCTTCTTTCTGTGGCATCTGCCCAATGCTTCCATAGTATCTGGGAAGAGGGCTTGCCTTGGGACATCCCTAGCCCTCTAAACACACTAGCATCTCATGGAAGCAGATGTGGGTGCTTAGTTTAGGAATTCGCAGGGTTGCTTTCATACATCCTCAGAAAATCCTGATTTTTCCAGACCCCTCCCATTCTCCCCCAACAGTTCCCCTCACCTCCTCTCTCTGCCCCATCCCAGTCTCCTCATTTTCAGAGCCACCCACCATGTCCTCACTGTTCTTCATCTCTCCCCAGGATTGAGTTCTGCGCTTCTCCTGTCTGGACCCTCTAATTTTCTCATTGCTTTTGCCCCATGCTGGCCTCAGGCCAGAGGCCCCCTTCTCCCTGTTACTCAGTTCCTCCTTAACTCACCTGGCAATGATCTCCCAGAGCCGTAAAGCATCATGGGCATAGAGAGCACTTGGGAGTCCCAGTAGGCCCCGGTCAGCCAGGTCGTCAGGAGGACAGAGTGAGCAGTAGGTCAGCTGAGCCGTTGCGCAACGGAGCAACTGCACGTGGCCCCCTCCACCTGTGCTCACTGCCTGGGACAGAAGATGACAGGTCTTAGAGGGGAAACAGGGCTGGAGAACCATCATATCTTCCATAAAGCAGGGCAGATGTGGGATTTCCAGATATTAAGACATGGGTATAAAAGGGACAGGTTCATAGGTTAAGATTGAGTCCATTCCCACTTGGTGGGTCTTGTATCCTGAAAGTATCAGCTCATGGAGAGATGGATGACACAGTCCCATGCCCTGTACCCTTCTCACCTTATCAAATATTCCTCCATCTGAGATGAGTTGGGTCCGGGCCCGGGTGTTGATTTCCATGGTGTAGCGGATGTGGGGGATCAGGAGCTGGGGAGGAGGAGATTGGAGGGCATGGCTAGTGGAGGCCGTGCTTGGGTCCTTCCTGATAGGGCCTGGCACCCAGCATGGCGCTTACTCCTCTTGCTGCTTTCCTTGACAGGCTGGTCTCCTGCTGCATTGATCATTCACTCTTATGCGCTCCAATTTCCCAGCGAGGTGGGCTCTGGATCCAGACTGACCAGAATTTTTTTTTTTTGAGATGGAGTTTCGCTTTTTTGTTACCCAGGCTGGAGTGCAATGGCGCGATCTCGGCTCACCGCAACCTCCGCCTCCTGGGTTCAGGCAATTCTCCTGGCTCAGCCTCCTGAGTAGTTGGGATTACAGGCACACGCCACCATGCCCAGCTGAATTTTTGTATTTTTAGTAGAGACAGGGTTTCACCATGTTGACCAGGATGGTCTCGATCTCTTGACCTCGTGATCCACCCGCCTCGGCCTCCCAAAGTGCTGGGATTACAGGCGTGAGCCACCGCGCCCGGCCTCAGAATTTTAACCTACACTTTACGCCTCATTTTAATCTGCAATCTCTTCATTTGTCAACAGGGGGCAGTAATAGACTCTCTTATCTCAGGGGCAGTGGTGATGCTCACCTAAGTGATGTATGGAGAGTGTTCAGTACACACGAGTCCTGGAATAGTAGCTGTCCTCTTCATTGTTTTCACCTTGAATATAGGTGCCTTATGAATCGGCCCTTTGTGATTTTCTTTGCTCCCTCCTCTCATTCACATTCTCTTAAACTAGCCTCTCTACTCATTAGCAAAGCTGCATCTCCATCTTTTAGTTGGTTCACAGCTGGATTTCTTTAGGGGATGGGTGGGGAGAGTACTTTTGGGTCAGAACTAGAAGAGCTCCATTCAGCTACCTGCTTTTTTCTTTTTGAGGCGGAGTCTTGCTCTGTCACCCAGGCTGGAGTACAGTGGGACGATGTCAGCTCACTGCAGCTTCCACCTCCTAGGTGCAAGCAATTCTCTGCCACAGCCTCCTGAGTAGCTGGGTTTACAGGTGCCCGCCACCAGTCTTAGCTAATTTTTGTATTTTTGGTAGAGACGGGGTTTCACCATCTTGGCCAGGCTGGTCTTGAACTCCTGACCTCGTAATCTACCTGCCTTGGCTTCCCAAAGTGCTAGGATTACAGGTGTAAGCCACCACACTTGGCCTCAGCTTCTTGCTTAAGCAAATCTTTCTCCACCTCTACTTAGGCACTGTTGGGTCCTTCTTCTCCTGCTTTTCCTTAGCTATTAAAAAGAGGCCACCTGATCGTTAACATGCGTTGTTTTTTTTTTTTGAGACAATGTCTTGCTTTGTCGCCAGGCCGGAGTGCAGTGGCACAATCTCGGCTCACTGCAACCTGCACCTCCTGGTTTCAACTGGTTCTCCTGCCTCAGCCTCCCAAGTAGCTGGGACTATAGGCACGTGCCACCACACCCAGCTACTTTTTTTTTGTATTTTTAGTAGAGATAGGGTTTTACTGTGTTGGCCAGGATGGTCTCGATCTCTTGACCTTGTGATTTGCCCACCTCGGCCTCCCAAAGTGCTGGGATTACAGGTGTGAGGCACCGTGCCTGGCTGTATTTCTTTCTTTTTTTTTTTTTTTTTTAAATCTTACAATGTTTGTCTTCCTTTCCACATAGTTAATATGCAGGTTTCAAGCAGTTTTGGTGTTTGTCTGAATTGTTGATGCTGGATGCTGGCAATGACCCAAGTGATGCCTTTGGTGTTAAGATATCAAAGCAGCTCACATTAATCTGAAGCTTTTCAGAAGATTCATGAAAGATGCCGAATGTCACAAGAAGCCCAAAGTCCACATGAGGAGAGATGCCTAAGGACGAACAGTGCCTAATAGTAATAATTGCAAGAACTATCTGGGTGAGGTGGCATGTGCCTGCAATCTAGGTTACTTGGGAGGCTGAGGCAGGAGGATCATTTGAGCCCAGGAATTTTAGACTAGCTTGGGCAACATAGCAAAACCCTGTCTCTACAAAAAATAAAAAAAAAATTAGCGAGGCATGGTGGTACACACCTGTAGTCCCAGCTACTCTGAAGGCTGAGGTTAGAGGATTGCTTCGGCCCAGGAGTTTGAAGCTGCAGTGAGTTATGATTGCACCACTGAACTCCAGCCTGGGTGACAGAGTGAGAACTTGTCTCTGAAAAAAAAATTGCAAGGCCAGATGCGGTAGCTCATGCCTGAAATCCCAGCACTTTGGGAGGCCAAGGTGGGCAGATCACCTGAGGTCAGGAGTTCGAGACCAGCCTGACTAACGTGGTGAAATCCCATCTGTACTAAAAATACAAAAATTAGCTGGGCGTAGTGGTGAGTGCCTGTACTCCCTACTACTCTGGCGGCTGAGGCAAGAGAATCTCTTGAACCCGGAGGTGGCGGTTGCAGTGAGTCAAGATCACGCCACTGCACTCCAGCCTGGACAACAGAGTGAGACTCCATCTACAAAAAAAACAACAACAAAAAAAGGGAAGAACTAATGTTTTTTGTAGCATTTAGCTTGTGTCACACTGTTAAGTCCTTTTAACCTTTAACAACCTCATGAAGGAACATGTGAGGACATCTGGAAATTATTGAGGCCAGGATTCAGGACTGAGACCCCAGCAATCCAAAGCAAGAGGCTGCACAGGCCACTGTTAGGACATCTGCAGACTTTACCGTCATGTGCATCCACCAGCAAGTCAGCCGTCTGCCTGAGGATGGCATTACTGTGGTGAGTGCAGACAGCGGGAGGGCTGAACCAGGAAGGGGAACTGGGTGAATAGAGGCTTCAGTTGTTTAAGTGGAGCAGAGGATGGGGACACAGGAGGCAGCTTGAGATGAATTAAATCCAAGATGCCATTAATCGGGCTGGTCTCCATCTTGTCTCTGTTACCAAAGGGGTCACTCCAGAGGTGGCACAGCTATACTGGCCAGGCCTGGGGCATCTGGGTGGAGGCCCCCAACTGAAACACAATTCAGTTGTTTTTACCCAGGACTCACTTGCGTATCTTACCAATACATCAAACTCCATGTACCTAAAATAAAACACCTCATTTTTGCTGACTCTGGCTTGTTCTAACTTTACTGTTTCTGACAATTACTCTGGTTTGTAAGCCTGTATCATGTTTGTGCCCCCTCGGCCAAGTTCCTTATATGTAAAGTATCATCAAGATTTTGAGAACATTTTTCTAAAGCAAACACAGGTCTTATTTTGCCTTCTCCCTGGCAATATATACTGAACTCCCTGTTTAAAAATTACAGTATTTATTAATTTTTTTTTTTTTTAATCTAGAGACTGGGACTTGCTATATTGCCTACTCTGGTCTTGAACTTCTGGTCTTAAGCGATCATACTGCTTTGGCCACCCAAAGCACTGGGATTACAGGTGTGAGCCACCACACCCAGCTCTGAAAACCACAGTATTTTTAGGTTAGTACAGCACACCACCCCGTGGACTTACAGGTGTGGCAGAAGCTTGTACTGATGGCTTTTCTCTGTCTTGTACCCAGGCACGCTGTGGCTACTGTTTCCTCTAGTATGTTTTAGGTTTTTTCCTTTTCGTTCCTGTCATTACCATGCTAGCGTACATCTCTATCCACCTTACTGTTGGGCAGGTATGAGTGGCTTGCTGGCTGCTCTTCCTTGCCTTTTGATCTGTTCTTACTTAGCTGACTCCTCAGTTCGGGTAAAACATTCTTCATGAGTACTAGACTGTTCCAGGCTGTCTCATGTGATTTCAAACTCTAGTACCAGATACTGTTCTCTGGTTGGCTTTTATGGGCTAAATACGAGATCTGTTTTTCTGGTTAAATACTAAATCTAAGGTAGGAATGCGGCCTGGGTTTTACTAATAGTGTTCAATCGCTACTGTGAGCACACTGCTAGACTGTCGGATCTCAGAATTTCAGAGGGTTCGTGTAGAATGTTAAGTGACTAAACTTAATTAAACTTAATTAAAATCAATATCTCAAGATATTGATACAGTCTTGTCTTCACTCACAAATTGCTACAAAGGGTTTTTGCTGCGTCAATATCATTTGATATTGGGCGGTTCCTCTCTCTGCAGTCTGAGGGATATGTGATGTAATAGATTAAGTACCTTGAAGATGGGGTGCAGTCCTGGGAGGCACCGCATGGTGGCGACAGCGATGACCTCAGCCACCAGATGAGTGTTCAGCAAGTGATACTGGAGCTGATGCAGTTGGAAATCTGAATTTCGGACCCAGGACTTTGCCAGGAGCCAGGCAAGTGGGGGATCTGAGGGCAGGAACAGTGTTGGGGTTGGGGAGCTGGGGTTGGGAGGCTGAATCTGGGAAAAAGAGAAACGATTGAACTCCCATTCTGTATATGACATTATAGTCAGCATTCTTGGGGAAACATGACTAAGTGAGATTGCCTTCTAGGAGGCTGTATCCCAGTAGGAGGACTGTGACCCCTCCCAGGCTGCCTCTCACTAGCTGTAGTGCCCTGATGTCAGGTGGAGTGCAGGCAAGACTGGGAGAAGGGAGTCCAGAAGGAGGCCTTCACAGTGGCGTGGGAGAAATCTGTCGGTTTGGGGTTGGCACTCAGATAGTGGTGGAATGTGAAGGAGAAGCAGGAGGTGTGAGATTATTGACTGTTCTTGTCAACTGACTGTTAAGAATAGTGAGAGAAGGCGGGGTGTGGTGGCTCACATCTATAAGCCCAGCACTTGGGGAGACCAAGGCGGGCAGATTACTTAGCCCAGAAGTTCAAGACCAGCCTGGGCAATATGGCGAAACCTCGTCTCTACAAAAAATACAAAAATTAGCTGGGCATGGTGGTGCATGCCTGTGGTCCCAGTTACTGGGGGTGGGGGGGGGCGGTGCCTGAGGTGGAAGAATTGCTTGAACAGGGAGGCACAGGTTGCAGTGACCTGAGATCACGCCACTGTACTACAGCCTGAGTGATGGAGTGAGATTCTGTCTCAAAAAAAAAAAAAAAAAATTGAGAGAAAAGATATTCAAGAGATGGTGAGGGTTCAGAGTCAGAGGCCACTGAGAGATTAAATAGTGATTCTCAAAGTCTGGTACTGAACTGGTAGTATCAGCATCACTTTGGAACTTATAAAAATGCAGACTCTCATTTCCCACCCCAGACATACTGTATCAGAGAGTCTGGTCAAGGGAACCAGAAACCTGCATTTCACCAAGCACTTCAGGTGATTCTGATGCATGCTGAAGTTTGAGGACCACTGGATATGGGACGAGAACTCCATGAGGCCATTTTGACTCTTGAACAAGTACTTCTAGTTGGGTGAGTCAGGGGAGACTAGGGTACAGGCAAATAGTGTGACATGAGGACAGGTCTCACTGAGTGGGGATGGGGTTTAGGAGCCAAGAGCCAGGGGGCTGAGTCCCTGGGAGCAGAGGTTGAGATGAACAGAGCACAGTGTTGTGGGGGAGGCCCAGCGCCCTCACCTGGATGACCATGGGCAGCAGCTTCCCACTGGGCTCCATCTTCAGCATGACAAGGGGGGCAGCCAGGTACTGCTTCTCTCCTTGGATCACGTTGGTTGGAATTCCATCCAGTAGGATGAAGTCAGCTTCAAACAGGGAACCATTCTGGGGATAGGAGGGATGTATCCATTTCTAGAATTCAAAGTCTCCCGCCACAGAGCCAGGGTAAAGGGCAAGACTTTTTTTTTTTTTTTGAGACTGAGTCTTGCTCTGTTGCCCAGGCTGGAGTGCAGTGGTGCAATCTTGGCTTACTGCAAACTCTACCTCCCAGGTTCAAGCAGTTCTCTGCTTCAGCCTCCCGAGTAGCTGGGATTACAGGCACCCGCCACCACGTCTGGATAATTTTTGTATTTTTAGTAGAGATGGGGTTTCACCATCTTAGCCAGGCTGGTCTTGAACTCCTGACCTGGTCATCCACCTGCCTCGGCCTTCCAAAGTGCTAGGATTACAGGCGTGAGCCACTGCACCTGGCCAGGGCAAGACATTTAGTCTAGCTTCTTGTCATTCTCCTGCATCAGTTGGGAGAACTAGAGCACCTGATCCAGGTTCTCTCATCTTAAAATGCAGGAACAGCCTGGTGAGGGTAGATGCCTTGTGTGTGGATGTGTGGTCACAGATCTGGGTTTGGAACCAGGCCTGCTCAACCCAGTTGGCATCACAGGCATTGTAAACTGACCCCCTGTCAAAGGCCAGGCCCCTTTCTGGTCATCCCTGAATGGTTTGTGCTCTGGTTTTGGCTGCCATCAGCTCAGCAAATGCTCTTTCATTCCCTATTCAAATCTCATCTCCTCTGCCAAATATTTCAGAGGGCTTCTCCTAGCTACCTCTGCCACTGCACACGGCACACACATGCACATGCACACATTCTGCCCAGGCTGGTCCTCCTCAGCACAGTGCATTGCTTCCAAACCCCACTTTCTTTTTCTAGAAAGCATCCCAAATTCTCCCCACCTGATGGCTCTTTCACCTTTCTCCTTGTCCATGAACACTGGATTCCAGAACACCATGGCCAGGGAATGTCACTGTTCTTGCTAACATCTCCAGCCCCTCTCTGCATGCTGGGGATTCATTCTGTTTTCCCCTTCATGCTGGGAGCTCCTCATAGTTTTTTTCCCCTACATATTTTATTTCTGTATTTTTCCAGCACAAGACTGCACCAAGGGACAGCGTAGTACTGCAGCCTTCCTTCCTCTGAGTCAGTTTTGTTCTCTCTGTCCGTTCTCACCACACTACTAAGGAGAGAACAGTGCCAGGCAGGAGAAGGGGAGGTACCTGAAGTTCTCTCTCCAACTGAGTCCGAAGCTCTTCCATCCCCGAGGGCAGCACTAGCCTGGAGGGCAGAGAGGTCGAGCGTCTCAACAGCATGGGGTTGGCACCATTGAGGAACTGGTAGCCGAACAGCTCATCATCCTGCCAGCACTGGTGAACCTTCTCTGTGGTGGGCGGTGGAAGGAGGATATATGTACCGCAGCCTGCACATCCTTCTCCTCCAGAGTCTACCCCAGGGATTCAGGCATATGGGCCACCCTGAACCCAGCTTCTGTGTTTTCATTCTCAAGGCCTCTCTGAGTTGACCGGACATGATAAAGTCTCTTCTTGCAAGGAGTTACAGGAGACTGTGGAGAGTGACGGGTCATCCAAAGGACCCTTTAAGGGATTATGGAGGTCTAGGGGAAACACTGACCAGCCAGGGTACTCTTCTGGCCCCAGAAGATCTGATCGAAGTCTTCTAGGCAGTTCCAGGAGCTCAGGAAAGTGTAAACACGTTTGAGGACCATCTCCAGAGCCCTAGGACAGGTATTGAGGTAACTCATCAGCCGATCTCTTGGTCCCTCACCATCTCCCATCATTCATGGACCTCCCAGCCCTTATTCCACCCTGAGGTCCAGCCTTTTTCTCACCCTGCCTTCAGTGTCCATTCAAAGTCCAACCTCTTCTCCTCATGGAATCTCATATTTGGAGGTAGATCATCCTTAGAGTCTGCAGCTATGGTTAGGGGTAACCCTTCCTTCCAGGTGGCCCAGCTAGGAGTTGGGGACAAAGCTTCAGGAAGGATGTCATGGTCAGTGATGGGGGCAGGGTCAGGGAAGGGGTGGGACAATGGGTAGGGGGAGTTTAAGGGGTGAGTGGTCACCAATAGATCTGCTGTCTGTCTTTCAGTTCCTTCTCTCGATGCTTCTGGAACACGTCCAAGGCATTGTCTCCTGGCAGGCGGGCTGGGGAGACATCAGGACAGTTAGCCACATGGCACTGTCTGGTCCTGTGCCCGCCTCTTGTCCTCATCTCCCTGTGGGTAGCCGTATTCCATGTTTTCAGCCTTGCATGGTTGCTTTTGTCTCTGGCTTTGCCTCATTTCATTATCCCCCAGGCACATTTATCCCATCTTTGCCAACTTTGCACTCCTGCCTTCTCTTATTTCAGCCCTTATCCTTTGCCTATAGATAAAATCTTCCTGTTTGCCACCTTCACTCATGCTTGCTCCTTCACTCATCTTCCCCAACCTGGCCTGATTTCGTCAATATTTATGGTTAGAAAAAAACACCTTAATTAAGGTGATGAAATCTTAGTCACCTATATGCCTACGCCTACTGTCTACTACAAAATGCTTTGATTAATTTCACATCTTAAACCTCACCTGCCACTCCTTCACTTGTTCTCAAAAGATTCTACGTTTGCCTTTTTTTTTTTTTTAACCTCACCTTTCTGGATTTACCATCATAGTCTGTATCTATTGACTTCTAGCTCATTTCTGCACTTACACTCACCTGACTCAAAGTCATAGATTTGATGTTTTCATCCCTACCGCCCTCACTTGCCTCTGTATTCATCTCTGTCTCACTCATTACCCATGGTTAAACATTCAGTACTTGCCATCCTCATTCCTCCCGCCTCCTGCCTGCCAGTGGCTTCTTGTGCTTCACCAGTGTCTTCCATGTGACTCCAGCCAAACCAGCTCACCAACATCCTATCATTTGGTTCCCTTAGCTGTCTGCTCTCACAGGTCACCTGCCCCCTACTGTTCCATGTGGTCCCCTCACCTGACTTCTGAGTCACCTAGACATCTCCTTCCTACTTTTGCTTTGCTTCTCTGATTTCCTGGATCGCTGCAACTCCCACTTTCTGTCTTTGCCTCCTTGGAAGATGGGAACTTATTAGATCACTTATTCCCTGCCACCAGCCTCAGGAGCAGTCTCACGAGCAGCCTCACTTAGCCTGTGTGAAACTTTGGGGATTGATAACTCTTTCCTGTTTCCTGTCTAGCACCCTGGGATCTCTATACTTAGCCTGCCCTGGGCCCCTCCCTACATCCTCTAAGTCCTCTCCGACCGACCGTCCTTAGCTCTGTCCTCCCAGCCCTGCAGCAGTTCCCGGGACCTTGCGCCCCCTTTCCCGACACCCCCCGCTCACCAGTGCCCTCGGGCAGGCTCAGGATGTCCTCGCCTTGCACCCAGCAGTAGCAGGGGAAGGTCGCCTCCGCGCAGGCCCCAGGGCCCTGCACTGT